CTTTCCAGCATATGCAGGCTGTTTTACAGGAGTCAGCATTTCCCTGAGACCAGATAACAGTGCTATTTCTAGCCAGCCGGTGATGAGGAAATCAGCATTTTCTAGCAGCTACAGTTATGACCTAGAGCATTTGCTCCGAGTGCCATCTACTGGCTTTAAAAAATAATTTATTGAGCAGTAGTGGTCCTTTTTAAAAAGAAAATCAAATTGTAGTTTGGTCTTTAAATATTTATTTTATTGTATTTTTTAATTACAAAAGTATTTCATAATCATGAGAAAAATCTCAAAAGATACTAATAGTAGCCTTGGCAATTAGATTTGTTTCCAAAATTTCACTCAAAACTTTGCTGGTGCATCATGTGAATGGAAAGTGAAAGCCCCACATGAACCTACACCCGAGAGTAACCACAGCTAATGGTAAATCATTCCCTTTAATGTCTACGTGGTATTTCATAGAATGCGGGTGGGGGGGGCAGTTGGTCATCATTTATTCATCCTACCCTCTCATTAGTGGTCTTTGGAATAGATTCCAGTTTTTTTGCTATTACAAACAATGCTGCCAAGAACATCTCTGTTCACGGGGTTTTTGCACTCTTGAGAGTGTTTATGAAGATATTCACTTAGAAGTGGCATTACTGAAAGAAAATAAGCATTTTTTGTGCCAGTTTACAACTCTACCAACAATGCATAAGGGGTGCCTGTTTCTCCACATGTGCACACCACCAGAATATTATCACTTAAGCAAAAATCTTTGTGTAGCTTGGTTTTCTATCTTTCTGTCAAAAAAATTTTTTTTGTTGCCATGACTAGGTTGGGTTCCGTGTGATACAGTTTTTTCTGACCATTAATCCTCCTAGAGACATTTCATGCTGAATTTGTAACCTGGTGGTGGATTCCAACTTAGAAACAAGGATATTTTTACACTTATTAGTATTCATTAAGTATTCATCATACTCAAATGATATTTATAGAGTGCCGACTGTGTGCCTGGCCAGTTGCCAGAAACACAGTGGTGAATAGGATGTGACACCTGCCGTCTGTTATTAGGGAACTCACAGATGAGTGGCGGAGGCCAGCACATAAGCCGATCACTGCCCTGAGTGCGATTCGGGCTCTACTAGAAGGAACCCAAGGCAAGCTGGTGGCCAAGGGAAAAGAAGGGAGGACCAGACGGGTCAAGGAAAAGCTTCACAGAGGAGAGGGCATTTCAGCTGGGTCTTGGAGAATGAGGCCAAGCCAACCAGAGGGAAGGCCGCTCAGGGACAGGGAACCAGAATGTGAAAGATATGGTAAAACTGGGGACTATAGGAAGAGGAGCTAGAAAGGGTTTAGGAAGCAGCTCAGATTTGAAATGCAGATGGCACAGGCTACATCATAGAGTTTGGACTTTATCTGCAAGGCTGATGTTTCTCAAACTCCAGACACTTTAATTTTAAAAGAAAACATTACTCCAACACTGTAATTGGAAAACCAATTTTATTTACCATAAGATACAAGAAAAATAGGTTTAGTAAAAACAAAAAAGAAAAAGAAACCAAGTTAGTACATTTGAAACAGCTTAATATTAAAATAAAATGAAATATAATAATGAATCTTATCTATTTACAAAAAAATGCATGCCTAAAATGATCTTCATCTGGGAAAAAATAAAATGATTTATCATCAGTCAGTAATAGATTCAGCTCTGTGTAATTTAGTTTAAGACTAAGAGTTATGTCAAGGTAATTCTGTCTGTGTTAATTAGCCCCCGGAATCTCAACACATCTGTGTAAGTGGTCAGGGCTCTGTCCTGCCTCCTGAAGGACAGGGGTGCAGGGAGCTCAGTGTTGCTGCCACAGTTCAGAGGACCTCCCAGATCCCACAGCAGGAACTGAAACCCAAATCTCTGACTCCAAATTTTCATACCAGGCCGATGCTTCATATATGAGGAAACTTCCTAACACAGTCTCTCTCCCAAATCGCAACGAGGCTGTGATTCAACTAGGAGCAGAGATGTTCTCCCTGGAGCATTCCAGCAGACACCTGCCAGGGAAGTGGTTTCGACGTTGAACTCAAAGTCTAAAGTCCTTTATAATTCTTAAGAGTCCCTGGGTCTGTGACTGGGAACTATTTCAGGACACTAACCTAGTGATTAAGAACTTTATGCCTTTGTTTTAGTCATTAAAATCCTGATAAAAGGAAGTTTTCAGTTATACAGAAATATACATTCAAATTTAAAGCAATGATTCATAGAGATTTATGGAACCCTAACTACACCTGTGTGAGTTTCTATATCCAGCAGCAGTAGTAATTGCTTAACACACACACACACACACACACACACACACGCACACGCACACACACACAGAGAGAGGAGTAGCAGCAGTAGTAATTGCTTAACACACACACACACGCGCGCGCGCGCGCACACGCGCACACGCACATGCACACAGAGAGAGGAGGGGGGGAGAGAAAGAAATACCTATTTACAACCTGAAGACATGTCAAAGATTCCAAAACAGACTTTCATGACTAATAGTGTATTCTCAGAAAGCAATGTTTCTGAGAAGTATGAGCCCATCCTGAAATTACCCTTCGATTTTGATTAACACAGCTAAACTTTAATTTCTCGGATTGTCAATGTTTTTGTTCATTTATTGCTGTGTAACCAATTATCTGCCAAGTTAATGGCTTAAAACAACAATAACTATTTGCAGTATTATATTTCATAATTCTGTAGGTTAACTGAACTCAGCTGGGTGATCCTTCTTCATGTGTTATCAGCTGGAGCTACCGTCAACTGGGTTAGAACATTCAACAAACCTAACTTTATTCAATTATAGGTGTGTTCCTGGTGATCTTTGTATGATATGACAGCATGAAAAGTTTATTGATATAGTTTTAAATTTCCCATTTTTACTAACCTATCAGTTGTTAAGTTTTGGTGTAGTATCAAAGAAGAACATCTGCAATTATCTGAAAAGGCTATTAAAACATTCCACCCTTTTCAACTACATATCTATGTGAGGCTTGATTTTTTTTTAAAATATACTTCAGCCAACAAACATCATAGCAGATTGATTGCAAAAGCAGATATAAAAATCTGTCTTCTATTAAGCCAGTTGGTCATTAAAGAGATTTGCAAATATGTAAAGTAAAACAATGCCACTCTTCTCACTAAAATTTTGTTTTAGAATATATAGTTAATCTTCTTAAAAATGTTATTTATTATCAATTTCATGGTTCTAATAATGCAGTATAGTTAAGTAAAATATCACTCCTGGGAGAAGCTGAGTGATGGGAACCGGGAATCTCTATTATTTTTCAACTTCTTATGAATCTATAATTATTTCAAAATAAAAAGTTTTAAAATGTTATTTATGTTAATATATAATAGATATTTTTAATCAACTAATAAGTGTCTTAAATCTAGAAAAAGACTTGTGTCAAAAATAAATTACTTTCATGATATAATCAAATAATTTTCTGCATGCCTCAAATGTGTTTGGTTCATTATAAAATATTTTGAAACCCACATTGTTTTGCATGCTAATAATCTTAAAGGAGATTATTTTGCAACTGTGTACAAAGCTTCAACATCAAAATCACTCAATGATAGTAAAATATATATGTATGATATAATCAATAAATCCTGTCCCAAACCTTCTTAATGAACTTACCTTATGAAAGAAAAAAATCTTTTAGCAGCTAAAATGATCTAATGATTACATTTTGATATTCTGACTACTTATCTTTTCAATAATCCTGATTACCAAAAGCCTTTTCTATTATAAAATTATCAATTATGGACATAGCTGAAATGGTCTCAGTCATTAAATCAAAAAGAAAAGTGTGTTTCTTTTCTCGACTAAATAACAAAGGTGAAAATGACACAGTTGGCCTGATTTATCCAAATTGGAAATCTTTTGGTAAAATCTATCCATTGACTACCAACCCTCCACTTTACCATAGTCAGGGGTGATGTGCTGCCCAAATTTCCTTGCAGGGCTGACTGACATCACCTCACCTGCTGAGAAGACATTGACAGCTCTCAGCCCTACCTGTGACTTATCCTCTGCTGAAAAGTGAGCTGATTGGCTTAAGGTCATGACCTATTCCCAAGACTGATTGGCTTAAGGTCATGACCTATTCCCCCATAATGATGGGGACTCTGAAGGGCCATCTTATCTTCAGGGCTCTGTGTATAATCAGCAGAGGCCTGTTCCTGAATTACAGTTCCACTTATCCCTCCACCCAATCCTGCTTCCTTCCTTTCCTCCACAGGTGTCAATCCTCAGAAAACTCCCTAATAAACTTCCTCCTAATAAACTTTAAAAAAAATAAGTATTTTAAATATTTCTGTTTCAATTTCTAATATAATAAACATCAATAGACATAACCCATATAAGCAAAAACTCTTTGGGATCTTCAATAATTTTTAAGAATGTAAAAGCATCCCATGATAAAAAATTTTGATAATCACTGCTATATAGATAAAGGAAGAAATGAGGAAATTCATGAAAAATAATACAGCATTGACTAGGGAGGTAACAGTGGAGGAATAAGAAAGGGTTCAATTCTGGATGTTTTGAAGGTAGAGGCAACAAATTGCTGTTGGGTTGGATGTGGAAATGAGAAAAAGAAGTCAAGTTTGTTTGTTTGTTTGTTTTAATAAGGAAACTGGTAGGATGAAATTGACATTTAATCAGATAGGAAAGATCATAAGGGGAACAGATTTGGGGGATGGTGATTCTTAATTGGGGTAGACTTCAGAATTTAACAATAATATCTGGGTCCCACCTTGTGAAAATTCTGAGTTGGGGCTAGATCACCTATATATTTAAAAATAAACATACACGCACCACCCCGTACCCACAAATACGCAATTGATTCTGATGTATGTTGTTTGGCAAATTCTCAGCATAAATTTCCATAGATCTATAGAGAGCAAGGGAAGCTATTCCAGCATAAAGCTTGGCATCGCTTACGAGGCACCTTGGTTGAGGGAGACCAGGCTGTCCTTAGTGTGCACCTGGCTTGCTGGAACCACTGTCATCGGTGCTTGTGGTTTGTGGGCAATCTGCGGCATTGCCCTCTGAGCAGGATTGCTCCACAAGGCGGAAGGCCTCCAGGAACTCATTGATATCGATGTGGCCATCTTTGTTGAAGTCAATGCTCCGGGCAAGGTCACAGATGCAGTCATCTGTAATGTCAATCTTCATGTGAGAGCTGAACAGCTTCCAAGTCTGCCTGAACTCATCCAGTGAGATGAACCCTTATCAGAGAGAGGAAGTCACTTCAGTGAGTCAGTCTAGTTTTCAATGTTCATTTCCTCCCACATTATTGCAAGGATACCTGTTTCCTACTTTTAAACAATCAAAGACAACCAAGGCCTAGTATCAAGTTTAAACCCCCAAGGGAATGGCACAAAACCACTGAATCACCAGTGGTTTTCAACTAGGAGCAATTTTGTAAACCTCCACCCCCTCTGGGGAACATATGGCAATGTCTGGAGACATTTTTGATTGTCATAATTGGGGTGAGGGTAGGGTGTTATTGGCATCTAGGATAAAGGTCAAGGATGCTACCAAGCATCCTATAATGCCTAGGATGGACACCAAAACAAAGAATTATTCAGGCCACAATGTCAGTAGTACCAGTGCTGAGAAACCCTGAATTAAATTACCCAAACACACACTAATTTAAAAGCCTTTGGACTTATATATCTATGGTCAATTGCTTTTTTACAAAGGTTCCAAGACCATCTAATGGGTAAAGAATAGTTTTTTTTCAACAGATGGTAGCAAACAACTGGATATCCACAATCAAGAGAATGAAGCTAGACCCTTACCTTCAACTATAAACAAAAATTAGCTCAAGATTAAAGACCTAACTGTAAGAGCTAGAAATATAAAACTCTTTGAAGAAAACATAGGTATAAATTTTTGCAACCCTGGATACATAACTTTTTACTGATATGACACCAAAAGCTCAAACAAAAGAAAAAAGATAAATAAGATGAAATTTTTTATTTAAAAGCTTTTGTGCATCAAAGGGGATACCAAAAAAGTGAAAAGACAACCCATAATATCAGATAAAATATTTACAAGATATATCTGATAATGGTCTAGTATCCAGAATATACAAAGAACTCTTACAACTCAACAATGAAAATACAAGTAACCCAATTAAAAGATGGGCAAAGGATTTGAATAGACACTTCTCTAAAGAAGTTATACAGATGCTCCTCAACTTACTATGGGGTTACATTCCAATAAACCCATTGTAAGTTGAAAATATTGTAAGTTAAAAATGTATTTAATATACTTCACCTACCAAGTGAACATCATAACTTAGCCTAGTTGACCTTAAATGTGCTCAAAGAACACTTGCATTAGCCTGCAGTTGAGCAAAATCATCTAACACAGCATAGTATTGTGATCGTATGGCTGACTGGGAGCTGTGGCCCACTGCTGCTGCCCAGCATCACAAGAGATTATCGCACAGCATATCGTTATCCCAGGACAAGATCAAATTTCCAAACCTGAAGTACGGTTTCTACTGAGTGCGTATCACTTTCAAACTATCATGAAATCAAAAAATCAATAGTTGAACCATCCTAAGTCGAGTACTGTGTGTACAGCTGTCCCTGCTCTGTGGTTTCACTTTTCAGTTTCAATTACTCTCGGCCAACCACAGTCTGAAAGTATTAAATGGAAAATTCCAGAAATAAACAATTCATAAGTTTTAAAATGCACACCATCTGTCCATCTGTCCCACCCGGGACACAAATCATCCCTTTGTCCAGTGTATCCACATAATATATGCTACCTGTCCATTAGTCACTTAGCAGCCATATTGGTTATCAGCTTGACTATTGTGGTCTCACAGAGTTTATATTCAAGTCACCTTTATTTTACTCCATAATGGCCCCAAGTGTAGTGATGCTGGTAATTCAGATATGCCAAAGAGAAGCCATAAAATGCATTCTTTAAGTGAAAAGGTATGTATATATAGGACAAAATATAGTGTTTATAGGGTTTGGCATTACCCACAGCCTCAGGCATCCACTGAGGGTTTTGAAATGTATCCCCCTGAGGATAAGAGGAGTCTGTTATACAAATTTCCAATAAGCACATCAAAAGATGCTCAACATCATTAGTTTATTAAGGAAATGCAAATCAAAACCATAATGAGATTCGTACCCAGTGGGGAAAAAAAAAGAAGATAAAAGAAAAATAACAAGTTTTGGTGAGGATATGGAGAAATTGGAACCTTCATACATTGTTGTTAGGCATGTAAACTGAGATGGCCACTGTGGAAAACAGTTTAGCAGTTCCTCAAAAATTAAACATGGATTTACCATATAATCTAGCAACTGCACAGCTAGATTATATATATAAAAAAAAAGAATAAAAAAGAAAAATGACAAGTTTTGGTGAGGATATGGAGAAATTGGAACCCTCATACATTGTTGTTAGGCATGTAAACTGGTATGGCTACTGTGGAAAACAGTTTAGCAGTTCCTCAAAAATTAAACATAGATTTACCATATAATCTAGCAACTGCACAGCTAGGAACATATCCTAATAAAATTGAAAACACATGTTCACACAAAAAGTTATACATAAATGTTCATAGGAGCATTATTCATAATAGCTTAAAATGGAAACAATCCAAATGTCTATCAGCTAATAATAGACAAATAAAATGTGGTATATCCACACAATGGAATATTATCCTCTATAAAAAGGAATAAAGAACTGATACATGACACAATGTGGATGACCTCAAAATATTATGCTAAATGAAAGAAGCCAGACACCAAAGGCCATATATCATATGAATCCATTTATATAAAATGTCCAGAATAGGCAAATCCACAGAGACATAAATCAGATTGATTGCCAGGGGCTAGTGAAGAAGGAACAGGGAATAGCAATGACTGCTAACAAGTATGGGTTTCTTTTTAGGGTGATGAAACTGTTTTAAAATTGGATAGAAATTATGGTTACACAATCTTGTGTAACTGACCTGAACATTTTAAATGAGTAAATTACATGGTATGTGAATTGTACCTCAAAAAAAATAAGAGTAATGTCTACGGCCATGCTACCCTGAACAAGCCGGATCCCGTCTGATCTCAGAAGCTAAGCAGAGTCGAGCCTGGTTAGTACCTGAATGGGAAACTACCTAGGAAGACTAGGTGCTATAGGCATAAAAAAATTATTAAAAATAAAATAAAATAAGGAATCGTAAGCTGACAAATTCCTTGCAATCTGTGAGGTCAACCAAGGGCTGCCTTGCCTAAAATAAATAGATAGATAGATAGATAGATAGATAGATAGATAGATAGATAGATAGATAGATAAAGAGTAAAAATATTGAAAAAGGTCTTTTGGACCATTGGGGGATAGGGTGAGGGTATATAGGACCTCTCTGTATGGTTTTTGTAACTTCCTGTGAATCTATAATTATTTCAAAATAAAAAGAGTTTTAAAAAAAGGCTTTGGGAGTGAGATTGTACAAGCCTTTCTGTTCTAGGCACCCCTAATTACTTTGTGGTTATCTTTGATATAACTATAAGGAATATCACACCTACTAATAATGATTCTCATAAGAAGAATGCCTGGGATCTTATAAGATACTTATAAGTTCTCATTCAGTTTGCCCTTATTCTTCTCTGCTCAGCCCTTCTACATAAACCGCTGATATTGCTCAACTACTTGTCTAGTTTCTGCCATTTATAAGGATTGCCATTATTTACCTGGCTCCCAAAGTGCTTGAGTAGAGAGTTAAATAACCACAGGGAAGAAACCAAAGGATGGGAGGTAAGATACTTGTTATGTGTCAGAAGTGATGGGATAATGAGTGTCTTTACCTGAATGATCACTGTCTATGATCCTAAAAATGGTCTCCAGGTTGGATCGATTTCAATACAGCGTTTCTAGCAAACTTGACTGTATGTTCTGCAAGAAAAAACTCATTATCCTTTGATAGCTTAGGTTAGGCTTGCCCTATTATATAATTAACACACAATCAATCCTGACAATAAGACACTCTTGAAAAATCCTGAAGAAGTTCTACCATCTCTCGACCCCCAACTCCCTTCAGCCCACCAAGTAATCTAATTGTTTAAGAAGTATTGAGCACATGATAAAAAACATTCTAAAATTAACCATGGTGCTGGTTGCACATATCTGCAAATATACTAAAAACCATTGACTTATATGCTGTAAATGTATGAATTGTATAGTATGTGAATTATATAGCAATAAAATTGTTTTTAAAAAGTACCTAGCCCACAGCTTCACATACATTACATTCAACAAGTGTTTATTGAATACTTTTTTTAATGGAAGGAGCAGCATGATGTCAAGGAAGTCAGACAGACCTGGGTTTGAGTCTCAGTTCTATAACTTAGAAACTCTATGATCCCAGGCAGGTAACAATCTCTGTGAGCAGTGTACTCATAGCTATAATGGGGCTGATAAAACCCATCTTTGGGAGTGATTTTCAGGATAAACTGAAGCAATATATGGAAATCAATTAACACAAAATCTGAAACATTTAAACTCAACAAGTAGTTGTTCCATTTTCTCATCCATCTTCCCTTTTGGGTTCTCAATAAGAGCTTTCATGGTCCATAACACCCTCATCCACAATTTTCACACCATCACCTCATGGCTTAGTTGTTCTTTGGCCAAGTCCGCCAGCCAGGACTTGTATTCTAGCATGTTATCTGTTGATCTGTTCACGAGCTGTGGCCGCAGCATCCGCCATGGCAGTCCTAGATGCAACGTAGACTCCACAGCTGCCGCCCAGTCACTGAAGGTGATTAAACCTGTAGAAAAAAACTTGTTGAACCATCACCTATAAGTCTAGTTTCCTGCCCAACGGTGCATACCTTCTTATTCTGACATTCTTCTTACTATCTGTAGGTAATAGAAATAATGAGCACTGTCACTATTTTTGTTGGTCATGGTAGAAAAACTCTACTTTCCATTGTCAAATATTGCATGGGACATACTCATATTTAAAAATTATTTATCTGTCTATAATTCAAATTTAATTAGGCATCCTGTTTTTATTTGCTAAATCTGGCAATACTCCTAAAAGTCACACAAGACTCTTACAAATAATAACATAAACTATTATTCAGATACAGTATTGGTTGTTTATATGTATAGGAAAATATATTGCTATGACTGAATAACTGTTACTGCTATTTTTTAATACGGATGCGTGTAGTCCATGCCCATTACACATTCCACTGAGCTAAAAAAAGACGAAACTTCTAACTTGCATAATAGAACATGGAACAGATGAGCACCCACTAAACAACAAGAAGTCAAATCATTGATCTTTTGCTAATCTTGGATCCACTCTTGTAACCTGCCCCACTTATTGTTTTTTGCTCAGTTCTGGCCTTGCCACTCTTCCCTTGACTCCATTTTTTCACCATCTTCATCTATATTTAGTCAAGTTCATATTCTGTTAAGAGCTTGGAATTCTAAAATTTAGAAAAGATAAATAGGACATTAAATTGAATAAAATGAAGGAAATAGTCAAAGAAATCTTTTGGTCTTTGTTCATTCAACAAATATTTATTTGCTAACTACTGTGAGACAAAGATTTTCTGGCCAGTTTCCTTCCCCTGTGAATATTTCACTGGGTTAGTCTTACCAGTTTTTTCTTTATCATGCTTCTTAAATTCATCAAGAAGATCTGAGGAATGAGCAAATAACTTTTCCCGCAGAGCTCTTAGAGCTGACTCCTCTACTCTGCTAATCCTGGGACAGAAGAAGAAAAGGAACATTTTTTTTTTTTAATTACTATAAAAGAAAGAGTCACAGGTTTTCATTACATTTCACCTATTTCTAAATGTCTCAGCCTCCTAAGGGCTCAGTTTTTGAGAGAAGAGCTTGATGTCTTATCACTCCCCAGTGCTCCCCTCCTTTTCCCTGCTGTGCACAAGCAGGATCAGTCTGAGGAATGCTGCTGCCCTTTCCAGTACTGAATGGTGGTTAGAGCAGAAGTTCTAGAAAGAACATCTTTGTAGGAAAGTTACATAACTGCACTGTACCTTAGTTTCCCCATCTGCAAAGTAGGGATACAAATGGTAGCTACCTCAGGATTATTATGTATTATGACAAATAAATGAGTCAATTCATTTAAAGCATCTAGAAGAAAGCCTGGCAGATAGAAAGCACTCAACAAATGGTATCTGTTATCAAAATCATGCTTTCTCTGTAACTTATTATTATGTTAAACAGTCAGTCAGTCACAAGGTAAGATTTATGAATAACAAAATAACATTAATTTAGTTTTCTCATTCTTACTGGGTCAAAAGAGTAACGTTGGGCACAGCACTTAGCCCAAAGTAAGTAAGCACTCAATAAATATTTGTAATTGAATAAATAAGATATTAAAGAGATGAAAGGTAAATACTAATTTGTCTTGTCTCATTCAAGAACGAACCATTCTATAAACGATGATCAGATAACCTATCTTTTCAAGTGCTAAAAGTAAAACACACACACACACACACACACACACACACACACAATTTTTATCATGTTTGCTAAAAAATCTTCCTTGCAGTTTTAAGTGTTTACCATAATAGTCTTTAATGGCTCCACAATCCCCTAGAAAGGTATGAACTGCTTAAAACTCACGTCAAATTTTATGGGTTTGTGAGCGTATGAGCTTTTGCTGAAGAGAATTTGTTGTTTCACCAGGGGCTAAAAGAGGTCTGGGACCCTCAAAAGTGTATGAATCCCCATTTTGCCAAAGCATTTAAATTGTTTTCTGGTCAATTGTAGCCATCGATTGTTATCATGCAGGGATATAGTATGGCAACAGTCTTGGGAGCTATCTGGATATACAGGGCTCTCCATCCCTATGTCAAGCAGCACATATTGAGCACTTACTAAATGCAGAGCTCTGCGTGGATCGTCTCATTAATCCTCCAACACCCACTGAAGTAGATCCAACTATTATGTCCATTAAAGAATAAGTAACTAACCCAAGGTCACATAACTAATAAGGGATGGGGCCAGGAATCAATCTTGACAGGTAGATTCCAGGCTGGTTAAACTATTATTGTGAGATATGGATTTAAACAAAAAGTAAATGGATTCTGAATGAGGGTTCCTCTAAGAAAACACATGATCTTGAGTTTATGGACATTAAGACTTGATTATAGTTGGTCAGAGACATTTCCCCACTCTTTGTAAGTACTCCATTGTGGTCCAGATAATTAAAGTTGTCACACAAGTGACCTCTGGATAAATTAAGTGGTGGTGTACTTGGTTTGATGCAATCAACGAATAGTTCAAAGAGCTGAGTGATCTTTAATTATGTTATTAAAATATATATTATAGGATTCTCTACGGTAACTCTTTTTGCAGTGACAACACCAAAATCATATGAATCATGGCATTTCAGATACCTGGGGCTCAACGCTGGAGACTCTAATTTGGTAGAGCTATGGTGAAGCTCAGATGGCTGATTCTCTAAAATAAAGCTCCACTGATGATTCTACTACCCAGTAGGTTTGACTATCACTTGGTAAGTTTAAATTTTTGCATAATATTTCTTTTTGGGTAATGCTAGCCTCGATTTTTTAATAACTTGAGTGTTTAATAACTCGAGTGATTTAAAATAATGTATTCAAAATATAGTGATTTAAAATATAGTACTCACACAGGCGGATGCTAAATATTAATGTGTTCTTTCCACTGGATTTATGTTTACTTTGTTTTGATTTCTAATTTAGTTCATCTGATAATTTAAAAGCTTTGTTTAGTACCAGTAAAACTGTCTCTGTTAGTAGCTTATATACAGTGGGAGGCTGTATTGCATAATTGTTAAGTGTGTAAGTTTTGAGATATGACTGCCTGGGTCAAGGCCAACTTTCACAGTTTATTAGCTGTGTGACCTTGGGCCAGCTGATTTAACCTCTGTTACTTAAAGATCTCATCTATGAAACCGAAATTAGTAACACAACATATTTCATAAGTTCATTGTGAGACTATATATATGTGGAAAGGGGTATTGTTAACAAAGGCACGCACTGAAATTCGTCTGCCAAATCCCCAGATAGTGAAAGAACCTTTTGCTGGGGTTTCTGGGGTAGCACAAAGGGTGAGAGAGGACAGAAGGATGACCCTAGAAAGACTTGGTGGCCTGGGCTATGACTTTACCCAAGATGCAGGAAGCAAATTTGGGTAGGTGGTAGGTAGAGATTTTCGTGTATGAAGAAGGAAGGGACTCCTGCTATAGTGTTTATTCTAAACCCTATTTCTGACAGAGCTATATTCTGATTTCTCACTTAGAATTTGGATAAATGTGTAACATTTGACACTTCAAAGTTTCTAGAAGCACTATAATTCTGTATTTCTGAAAATCATTCATTGACAAGTCTTGCCTTTGCCTCATGGTTAGCATGTGGGTCGCCTTGTTAGCTTGATACTGCACAATGTGTGGGGTCAGGGCTGGCCCCAGTTTGACATAGGCCCCTCTATTACTGCCAACTTCATAGTAGTTGGAGGCAGAAAAGATGGTTAACACCTAAATAAAAAGAGAAGAGAGACAGGCACTCAGATTCACTGAAGAACTCTTTAACCTCAATCCTAGAGGTCCCAACCCAATTTAGGGGCTGCTATTCCTCTTTGACATCAGTTATAGGTTTGTTTGTTTGTTTTAAGTCATTAATGTTGATAGGGCAAGAGTTGTGATTCAAGTAATAAAAACTTGAATTCTGATAGAACATCCACAACATATTTTCTTCACATTTTCACTCCAAGTAAAAATAGCAAGGGTCATAGAAAACACTTCATTGATTCAACTTAGAGGCAAGCTGGGTGTAATAAACCGGGATAGCCATTACAAGTAGCAGGCAAATCAGTTATTAGCTGGTGCGAGACCTCAGAGCAGTTCCCTATAGAGTGTTGTACCTCCTGAGATGCTCTATGAAGAAAGTTTTAATTGTCAATACATTGGGGTCTTAATCAAATTGTGAGTTTTAAAGAGATTATAAAAGTCAAGGATAAATGACTGTAAAGGACCTAGTTACTTTGAGCAAGTGGATAACAAATACAAGGAACAGCTGATTGTGAGGAGAGCCTCAGCTCATCCAGGCCCGGGAGGAACCACTCCCGTGCTACTGTAGAAGGTCCACCCACCTTGCGGCTGTGGCAGAATTCATAGCCTTCAGGTTTGCACTCATGTGAGCGGATCAGGAATTGCAGGTTGTATTTCTGTAGCAACTGTTCTGTCACATTTGGCCCAAAATAACAGCCTCCTCCTCGAACGGTGTTGGCCTTGCAGCCCTCCTGAGCCATGGGATCACTCCACAGTATATCGACAACCTGGAGAGACCAAGAAATAATTTCTTTCCTTAAAACTAGATAGGAACTCATTCAGAGTGATTTCTAAGAAAAGAGGAAGAAGAGGAGGAACAGGAGGAGCAGGAAGGGGAAGATGAAAACATTTGAATAAAAATAAGTAAATAAATTTCCATGCAGTCAATATTTGACATTCATTTATATTTTGGACTTCTGAGGTTTTCTAATACTTTATTATTTACAAAATGAGCATGCGTATGTGCATATTGTTTGACAAGCATATACCCACTTTCTTGAAAATAAATCTTACTTGAAAGTTTAACATGTAAAACATAAAAAGGGAGCTTCTCTGGCAGGAGCTTTGACCATGCCAGTGCCCTTCAGTCAGCACTGGTACTCCAAGCTCCTGGACATTTTCCCCAAAGAGAAGGCAAAAGTCCTAGAACTGACAATAGAGTCTCTCATGCAGCATTTATAAGGTCCCAGATCTGGGGAAAGTGCAATTGGACATTTCATTTCTTAAAATAAGTTTAGAATTTTTAAAAGAATTTGCAGAGGAGCTGAAAATTTTTTTTTAGCAATTCAGATTCAACTCTATTGTCATTACTCAGGACAACACTGTCAGTCTTACACAGTGAAATATACCCACATGAAATAGTTGGGTGCATTTTGGTTGTCAACACCAAATTATACTTTCTAAATGTATTTTTAAAGAAAAAATGCATTTGATTTGTAAACACCAGTATGTTATTAATGAGTCATGTTTTGCAAAAGGAGAGACTTAAAATTTAAAATGTCAGTTCTAAATAGATGTTGAAGTCCAGATCGAGATAACTCAGATCAATAACCTGAACTCACCATCTATCACTCTGAAGTTCCTAGCCTGAGTTCACTGCAACTCTGCCTCTTTCTCACCACCCTCCATCCAATCAATCAGCAAGTTCTGCTAATTTTACCTCTTAAATTATTCTTTCTTTTATTGGATGGATCATAAGCAATTGCTATTTTTATAGGTCAATATGTTTGAGTACTAGCAAGTTCACACAGTTCTATTACTACATCTATCACTCTGAAGTTCCTAGCCTGAGTTCACTGCAACTCTGCCTCTTTCTCACCACCCTCCATCCAATCAATCAGCAAGTTCTGCTAATTTTACCTCTTAAATAATTCTTTCTTTTATTGGATGGATCATAAGCAATTGCTATTTTTATAGGTCAAAATGGTTGAGTACTAGCAAGTTCACACAGTTCTATTAATACTACATGAGATTACCATCATCATCCTCACTTGGATTACAACAGTCTTTTAAGGGATCTTCCTGCCAGTCTTGCCCCCCATGAAATGTGCCCTCCACTTAGCTACCAGAGCACATATTTTGGCAAACACTGTGATTGCCCACCCAGTATCCGTTCTCTTTCTTTCTTGCTAAGAGACCTCTGGTTGGGTGTTTAGGGTGGCAATATGCCTAGCTAAATATGTGCTTTCCCAGTCTCCCTTGCAGCTTGGGGTAGTCATGTGACAGAGTTTAGAAGATTTTGGAAAAGACTTTGGTTGCCTGTTTGGGGAAGAACAGAAGCTACTGAGATAGCCCTTTTGGGCTAGAGCCACAGCAACCATCTTTCTGACACATTAAAACAAACAAACATCTTAATTAATCCAATGATGCTAGGTCACTAAACCAAGTTCACTCAGGCAATAGAGCCCACCTGCTACGTCATCCCACTTTTTATAAAACTCTAACATTCATGAGTCATTAGGCAAATATTAATATCTTTCTGGGGTGTTTTAACCCCAGGTAGAGAGAAAGAGGGGCAAAAAGAAAATATCTTGAATGTACATGGACGGAGATTTGATCTTTTTTTTTTTTTTTTTAAATCCTTGATGCCTCTGATGGCAGCTACGTTCTAGCGAGCGGCACCTGACCACACTCACCTGCCTCCACTCCTCCAGAGTGGGCTCCAGCAGCTCCTCAGCTTCCGCCGAGTCCGCCTCTGGCGCCAAGGTCCAGGGCTCCTCCTTCTCCTTGATCACGGTGAAACCTGCTTTCTGCCGGCATCTCTCCAGCTCCAGGTCCACCGAGCGCCGCACCTTGCGGGAGAGCTCTCTGGGCTCCAGCAGGCTGCCGCAGGGAACGCTGGAGGAGCGGCCGGCTTTCTGCGCCTTGTGGGAGCTGAGGCGAAGGGGTGACGAGGGAAGGGAGCGGCTCTGGGGGAGAAACCACGGGGAGGGTCTTCCTTCGGAGCTCGTCTGGTTGGCTTTTCCTTTCTCCTCCGCCTGCTTCCCGTTCTCCTTTCTCGTTTTGCACCTCAAGGTGGAAACAATCTAGAAATGTCCAGAAAACACACAGAGGCCAGAATGAAACCGGAGGTCCTTTTTGAATTAGCACTTTGGTATCAGGTCAGCGCTGCTCACACTGGGGTCCGCTGACGAGTGCTAGTCTGTGTGCGAAGGGTTAGTCCTGACCCAGGATGAGACAGGCACAGAACTTGAGAGTAAACCTTTAGAAACTTTCATAGCCATTGGACATTCAATCACACGATCAGTCGGCTTGTGTTTTTTTATTTGAATTTAATTTTTCTAGTAATCCATATACGTTGTATTTTACAGAAGTATCGATCTGTGACAAATTGGACATTTATAAAACCTGGTCCTTCACCACAGATAATTTGATAAATACTAACTTACGTCATTATTTCTCTCTGGGAGCCTAGTGATTTTTAGACAAAAATAAGAAAGGGCACCGCTCTCTCAGGAAGGTGAGCCCTTATTGACTTTTCTGTTGTTCCACAGATACTAAACGAAAGGAGAAATGCAGCTTGAGTTTGAGAGCTGTTGGAATAGGGAAATCTTGACACTAGCTGTGGGATGGCATTTTACAGGAAGTGCCGCCTAACCTGTTATCTCACCCGTTGAGGAAGGATGGGGGAGGGGTAGAGGCACCTCTTTTCAGCCTGAACCTAATAGGGAAGAGGGACTGAGTATGGTCCCGCTCACTGACTTAGAGTCATCATTGTACTGTGACTTGGCTGAGAATATAGTGGACACAAGAATAAAGAATTCTGACCACAGGAAGGGGAGGGGTCAGGCCACAGAGCAGAGCTGTGGCATTGAGCAGCCATTCCCAGTACACCTGAGTGCCACGGGGAAAACTGAGGGGCAAAATTTCCACAAGGATGTCACTGATAAAGGCCTGGTTCACAATGGGAAGGAACTCTGTGGACGTGCATAATCAAGTAAAGAGAACTTTCTGCAAATAGATATAAGGTCTGTGATATAATAAAACCACGTTTTGGTGTGAACTGGCTTAGGGCAAGAACAAATAAGGACGCTAGAGGGTCAGCAGAACCTGAATGATGTTTGAAGAGGAATCCAGAGCGAACAGTGTGGAACAAAGATTATTCTCTAACATTGGACAAGTGCTGATTATTTTCTGAGCAGTTCCATCCCTAGGGATAGAAAGTAAAAGGCCACAAAATGTGGATGGCTTCCCAACCACCTCCTGCTCTTCTCATTGCCAAATCACAGCATGGGCCAGACCATCAGTCCCACCCCTCTCAACACACAGGGATCTTTATTTTAAGGATGTTATTATCTGCTCCAAGAGGCATCTTTAATTTTGATTCTTAAGGAAAATAATATTGTTAATATAAATTGATCCCTTTTCCAAATAGGAGCTATTCTGGGCACTTTACATGAACTACCTGACTAACCTCGAGGCCACCTCTATGAGACAGGATCTTCAGTTATATAGCTTTACAGGAATTAACTGATTAGCCCTCCCACCTCTATGAGATAGCACCCTCATTTATAGTTCAGATAAGAAAACTGAGGCACAGAGCCCCCAAGGCTGTACCAGGACTGAATCCAGGTAACTGGCCCCAGAGCCCAATTTTCTTTGTGCTTCCCTCCCAAGTGGTCTTTGGAATCTGTACAGATCACAACATCAGCCCTTCCCAGAGCTTTGCAAACCAGCTGCTGAAAAGCTTTTTGCTAAACTACAGAAAACAAACTGTCCTCTAACATTTTCTCAAAGTTCCTACTGCTCCTATGTTTACATAATTAAATGTGATTCTTCCCATAAAATAATCTGCTCTATTGTGATTTGTTGCCTCTATCTCTAGATATGGATGCAGCTAAATAGAAATGTTTGAATGGGGGGCGGGGGGAAGAGGTACCAAATGACATGCAGAATTGACAAAGGAAATGCTGAGAGCTGGTTTTGGGTCCCCTAGGACCCTAACTCTCTATCAAGAACATGAAGGGGTTGGGATTGTAAATATTGTACAGGGGATTTTATAATGAGTTTTGGAGGGAGATATTAAAAATGTTGTAGGCCTCTCCTCCTCCATCTCTGGCAAGGAATTAACCTTTTTTTCCAATGACATGCAGAATTGATGAAGGAAATGCTGAGAGCTGGTTTTGGGTCCCCTAGGACCCTAACTCTCTATCAAGAACATGAAGGGGTTGGGATTGTAAATATTGTACAGGGGATTTTATAATGAGTTTTGGAGGGAGATATTAAAAATGTTGTAGGCCTCTCCTCCTCCATCTCTGGCAAGGAATTAACCTTTTCTCCTTCCAACATTGAGCTTGGGTGTACAGAGACACATAACTTGTCTTTTAGTCATCAGACCACAGGGACCATAGCCACCTGATAGATAGGACTTGAATCCAGAAATCTCAGACTTTGAGCTGGATCCAAGTGTTGGATGAGACTTGAGTGTCAACTCCCTTGGGGAAGGGATGAGCATGATTCTATGTGTGAGAAGAAAAGCATGCATCGAAATCTGGGGAGCCACAGGGGCAGACTAAGGCAATGCTGCTACCCCAACATCTGTCTACCCTTCTTCCTTAGTAATAAGAACTCAGATTATTACAGATACCACCTGGAATAAAAGATATACTTTCCAACCTACCTTTTAGGTAAGTGTTGACATATGATAGAGTTCTGAACAGAAACATGAATAGAAATTATATGTATAAACAAATGTCCTTAAAGAAAAGAAACATGCCTTTCTGCTACTCTCTAATTCATGCTGGTTAGAACAGAGTCATGATGGCTGGAGCTCAAGTAGCCATGCTGGGCCATGATGCAACATGATGGAGCAACAAGAGAGCAGAAACCTGGGTCCCTTTGTGATGTTACTATACCAACCCTGGACTGCTTGCCTCCAGCTTTTACTTACTTGAGAAAAAAATAAACATTTAGCCATTGTATTTGAAGTTTTCTGCCACTTCAGTCAGATGTAGTTAATACTATGTATAAATTTTGTAAGGCACATGCACATATATTTTTGTTTAGTCCTCACAACATCTACAATATAGTTGTTTATGTCTCTATTGTATAGATTTAGAAAATGAGATTACAATAAGTTAAGCAACTTGTTCAAGTTCATATAACTATAGGCAGCAGAACTGTTTTCTTTTAATCATAGACTCTTACACTTGAATGGTATCTTAGGCTTCTCTACTCCAACTGCCCAGAATTATCTAGATCAGAGATGACAAACAAATGGCACTAGCTGCTACTCCCCACTGTCACATCCATGACAAACATCTCTACTTGGTCACTGCATACTTACTCCTGAGTTTAGCTGTGGATTCTCAATAGTTTCTCCTTTTGATGGTTTAATGGCTTCTCTTAACAGTTCTTATTAGTCAACTGGAGCCAGCATGTGAGATGATGTTTATTTTATACTGGCATTGAAACTGTACATTATTGTGAAATTTGCACTATTTCATTATTCGGTGAGTACCTTGTGCCTGTCTAGTTTAGACAAAAGCTCCAGGTCAGTCATGTCTGACACTCCACCATGAAGAATCAGGACTTTCTCATCAACCAGAGTGGCCAGTGGAAGCCAACAGAAAACATCTTGCAGTATTTTTAGTATTTTCTTGCCATGTGTCTGAAAAATGATATGAACAAGATATTAAGTTTCAAATAATCACTCAACTTTTCTCAACTAAGAGAAACTTTTACTTTTATAGGCAATGTACCTTATATTTATGCATCACTTCCTTGGTGAAGCCATATCTAGATTTAGAAGCAAAAATAGATATCATATTTAGTAATAATGTTTATGGCTTGATTGCATTATTAGAAGAATGCATGTTCTATATACATGTACTTAACTATATAGAAAAGAGACTAATCTCCAAAATATTTACAATTACAACATTATCTCTAGGTAGAAAAATTATGGGATATTTTAATTTTCTTCCTTTTGCTTATCCATATTTCTTACTTTTTCAATAGTGAACTTTTATTGTTTATATGATAGAGTACAATATGCGAAAAAAATTAATGGTTTTATTCGAATGGTAAGATATGTGTAAATTTTTTAAATCTTTTAAAATGTTATATTCTGTGTATTTTATAAAATTGGAAAACTACTTTCAAAAGGCATCTAACAAATAAGAAGCTCTGACAAAATAACTTTCAACAATTGCAACAAGCGAATATCAAACACCCGAGCCTGTTTTGGTTTGTACCGTAAGTTCACCATATGGTCCTCGTGGTTTCCTCGGTTAAGATGGAACTCTTTTGGGTAAACCAACATGAAGGCAAAAAGAACCATCAGGATCTCTACTGAATCCTTGCCTCTATCGACAAAGTCACCATTGAACACGTAGGCCCTCTCTGGGGATGGGAGGCCATTCTTCCCAGCGAGGAGACAAGTCCAAGAGGAGGTAGTGAGCGAGAGAGTAGGAAATCAGGTTAAGCCAATGTGCATTTAACGGGTACCTCAGATCTAACACCAGTTCTGAGTTTTCTGGTTCTCTTCCATATATGAAATGTCAGTAAAAGATAGAAATGTTTTTATTGGTCTTATGTTGTTTTTCCAGCCAGTCTGAGGTCATGACATGCTCATCAAAATAAATGCTTTATACAAAGCCAGAGTGTTGCCATGTGGTACATGTAAAGGGCACTGAACTTGTGATCCAAAGACCAGTTTTAAGTTCTGCCCTCACTATCTTTAATTAGCAATAACAACTGCCATAGATTCCTCAGGATTAAACAAGACAATACATGGCAAAATGCTTTGGGAAATGTAATATGTATAGTTCTATTATATTAATAGAATATTCTTAAATGTTAAAAGCTCTATATTTTATAACTAAAAATGGATATGAAAATAACTTTCAATTGCTTTGATAATAAGTAATTTTCTTTATTTTGAAAAAAATCAATTGCTAAATAAAGATTCCTTCTCTTTATTAACCTCAGATTTTGTATTTTTAAAACAGTTTATAAAAATGTACTAGAAATATAATGCAATGCTGGCTTTTATATATTTGCTACTATGTATTTTAATATTTTATGTATAAATATACTACATATATTTAATATTTTTTAAATCTGAGCAATACTTAAGTATCTGTTAATAGATAACATATTCGAACTTCTAAATTAAACCTAAGAGTAAGACAGGAGCTTAAATTGAACATTCTTACCTTATAAAATATAAATATCAAGTCATCTAACTGGCCATGTAAATCTCCTAACAAAGACAGAGAAAGAATATCATTTTTGATTGGTCCTTACCATTGTTTCTCATTTTTACTATAAAAAGGAAAATACCCAGAACAGACTAACAAAGTTGAAAAACTTATGGTTACTCTTTTTTCCGTATGTAAGATAGGGATAAATATTCATTTCCCTTGTTGCAAGGATAGTTAATATTGAAAGCAGAAAGCATGTTGCTTTTCTTGCATAATTGTAATAAATAGTAAATAACCTATATTCTTATCGAAGCAAAGATGGGACAAAATAGTGCTGGGCTGCAAGTCCAGATGAAAATGGCAGAGGTTTTGCCCCATCCAATGTAGGAACCTGCGACTCACTTAAGGGCTGGCCAGTCTTACAAGTTTTTTCAGGAAAAGTTGGAAATCTGGATTTTAATATGAAATCCTTCTATTTTCAAATGTTGGAAACTAATTTTAAAAATTTAAGACCATTTTAGGGCAAACAAGACGTATCTGCATGTGGCCTAGAAGTGACATTTTACAATCCTTGATGTACTAGTCTGCCTCTCCTAAGTTAAAGTGTGAGGCGTCGATCTATAATGGATGTTAAAACAACACTGAAAACATAAGAAGATGGAGAAAATCATCATTAACAGGATTTCTCTCTGGGAGAATATATGTGATGGAGGTAATAATTCTCTAGGCATCGGGGCCTACTCAAGTAATAATCGATAAACTGTCTTCTAACGAGGAGGGAGTCTGGTTATTTGCAGGGATTTTGTTCTGAATGGAGAGCACGAGTTTGGGAACTCATATATGAATTGCTTGAGAAAATAAAGCAGAGGGTGGTCCCTTGCACGCCACTGTTCTCTTTTACTGTACCACCTCTAGTTTTAGTAAGTGTGGAGCGAATCAGTGTGAAGGAGTGAACTTGGCCGCCCACATTGCCATCGCCCCCACCTCCAAGTCCCACCTTTCCTCCTCCCCCATCACAGCAGAGTTTTCTTGTTTGAGTCTGGCTTGTAAAGCCATTTCTAACCAGCTCTTACCACACACTGTGATCTCCTCGCTGTAACAGGTCGACAGCCGGTTGATGTTCGGCAGTTGTACCAGGTGTTTCCTAGTCTCATGCAAAAGATTCAAGACATAGCGAGCATGGAGCTGCTACTAGGAGGAAGAGGAGGAGGGGAACAAAGCGACACTGGTATTCCTGATGGAAAATGGACCTCACATTTACAGGTAATGACCCCATCACCAACCCCAAAAGTGACTTTAGTAGTCTACCCCAGGACTTTATGCACGGATCCTTTCTTTTCCACCCGTCTTCTACACTTGTTTCTGCTTTTCACTGTCCCCCAAATATTGGATTGATTTCCTCTTTCCTATGCACTCTATGAAAGCCTCCTTTGCCTTTAGCTAAGGAGAAACACATGGTTGTTTCAGCGAAGTGTGAATAAGTACATGCATGTTGATGGTACTGAGTGATCCTGATCTTACTGGAAAAATCATCCCAACTCCTCCTGCAGTGAATTATATTCATGTAAAAGAGGAGAAAGATTGGAATCTGGCATAGAGCCAGAATCTGACCACTTCTTGCTACCTCTGCCTCTATCACTAGGGTTTCAAGACACTCTCATCTTTTGCCAGGACAATTGCAGTAGTCTCTTAACTGTCTGCCTGCTTCAGCCCTTGCTCCCTATACTCTATTCAGTAAACAGAATGATAATTTTAAAAAGCAAGCCAGATGATCTCATTCTTGTGCCCAATGTCTCCCTATCTCTTTCAGAAGAATAAAAGTCTACCCCCGCCCCCTGCCTCCATCTCCTAATGCTCTTCCCTCGCTCCTTCCTCTCCAGCCACGATGGCCTTCCTGAGGTCCCTGAGCAGTCCAGGCAAGGCATTGCGTCAGGGCCTTTCCATTTGTTCTCCCTGCCTGGAATGATTTTCCTCAGCTGTCCACATGGCACATTCCCTCACCACCTTTGACCTTTGCTCAGAAATCGCCTTTTCAGTGACACCTTCCCAGACCACTCTATAAAATTGCCATCTCTCTCACCTAGAATTTAGTTTATTCTTTGGCACAGCTCTTATCACCTTTTAATATAATATATAATTTCCTTACTTGTTATTTATTATTTCTTGTCTGTCTCCCCACTAGAATGTCAGCCCCATGAGGGCAGGGATTGGTGTCTGTCTTGCTCACGGCTGTATCCCCAGTGCCCAGAACAGTGCCTGCATATAGCCATGCTTAATAATTATCTGTGGGATTACATGACTAGGAGGAGAAGTTTTCAGTGCATAAAAAGCAGCCAATCAGCCACTGGTCCTAGCGAAGCAAAGGGGGAATGGAATCTCTCTAGCAGACCCGTGACAAGAACATCCTAAACCCAGGGCCATTCCTTCTGAGCTGGTCTGTTCTCCCTCCACATGTGACACGGAGTTGATAACGACTCAGGTTCCGGGATGAACTTACTTGCTTCAGTCTGAAAGCTTCCACCAGGGCAGTTGCATGGTCAGGAAGGAGTGGGAAGGAGAGGCGTGGCCCTGTGTAATTGTCTGGCACCTCTATGGATTCATAGTCACTGAATTTCTCCATCTCAGAGCCCCGGCGAACTCCCTCAGTAAACATGCGGTTCAGGAAGTCCCCTAGTCAGGATAGAGAAAGTGGGCCAGCTTATGATCAGATGTGCAGTCCATGGGCAACGCAGATTTCTTCCCTGGACTGTACTTGAACTGGGACCTGGCATTGGCTCCAGCACAGGAGAGGAGAAAGGAAAGGGGCGAATGACAACAGATTAGGATGGGCAGGAGGAAAGGTTATGTTTTTATGTTAATTCTATTCTACTTTTATTTTAAAAGATGGGGATTTGTCAGATATAGAAAGGATGGAAATGTAGGGGCCTAGGTTTGTAAGAAGGAAAGGGAAAAGGTGTGGTGGAAAAAAGTTCACAGGCATTTATGGTGTACTCGAGAATGTGGCAGATGCTTCAGATCTTTCAGTGCCCTTCAGGCAATTTCCAGCTGCCTGCCTCTGCATCTCTAGCTTGAGGGCTTTTTTTTCTGGGTCCACACAGAGTCCTGCTTTGTGAGCTCAAAATGCTGGGGGTTAACAAACCTTTTCATCTGCCCCTCCCAACAGCCTTCAACCAATGACTTTCAGGAGCTGACATATAAAGACTCAAGTTCCCTCTCCTTTCAGGAGCGATCATTCTGAGGGGCGTGTTTTACACTATTTCTCAGGCATGTGAGTTGCTGGCTTAGTAGCCCACCATGTCTTGGCTGCCTTCCATTTCCTGAATCCCTTCCCACTTCCTCCTCACAACCCCTCTGTTTCTTGTATTTAACAAATAAACTTGTACTGAAACTCTTATCTCTAGGTGTGCTTCATAGAGAACCCAGAATACAAATCCGCTCTGCCATTTATTTGTCGTCATCCTCCTCGCTCATTCCCAGCTGTCACCAGATTCACATTTTCACTCCCTGTGCATCCCCCGGATCATTGACCCTAAGGCAGGAAGACATACCCTGTGGCAGTTCATACTTACGCTCATTGTGACTGCTGGGCGTGAAGTGATCCACAAGGTAGCTGAAGAAATCATGGAGCTGCAGAAGAACCCAAGAAGACTTGGCTTTAGAGGTAAATGGGAAGAGAACTCAAGAATGGTCCAGATCAGCTACACCGTCTGGGCACCTGGGCCTTGCTGTCCAGGGGCTGGAAGGCAAAGCCGGAGGCAGCCCCGCCCCACATCCCACCATACCTTGACTTGGTCTTGCTGCCCAGCATACTCTATAGACTGGAAGATGCTCCAGGTGCACTGCCGCCTCATCTCCAGGCGTGCCATGTAGCGGCGGTACCATTTCTGGATTAGGGCCGCTGCCTTGAAAGCTGTGACACAGATGGAGAAGCAAGCCTGTGAGCTGGGGCCCCCTCAGCCTGGGGGGAGTTGAGGGGTACCCCTCCCACTATAATGTGGGGACAAGATGGTGGGGAAAGCACTACCCATTGCTACCGGCAGGAAAAATTCGACTTCTCACTGGCTGGGGTACTCTCTTTCGCCATTCCTGCCTTCCACACCACCTCCATTATCACCTATTGGTTATGCTAATATAACTGGAAGGTTATTGGAATTTCCACTTTTTGATGAAAACTTCTATATGTGTAGAAATGAAAAGATCGGATTGCTGGGATTCTGAAAAGGATATGAAAACTGAAGAGATCACAAGGATGTGGAATTTTTAAAGAGTGGGTTAGTTCAGGCCTCTTGACATCCAGTCTGTTGTTTCAATATCAAGGACATTTTGATATTGAAACAACAGACTGGAGGTCAGGAGACCTGAATTCTGAACCTCGAACTGCCCTGACTAGCCATGTGGCCTCAGATGAGTCACCTTCCTGGGCTTTAATGTCTTCACCTAGAAAAGTGTATGAACCAGATGATGACGAGGAAACAACAAACAAACACACACATTACTATGTGCTATAATGTCAGGTGGTGATAAGTGCTTGCTGGGTCCTGTGCTGGCCATCCCTATATTCTGACATCACCACAGATTTTAATTGTCCCCATCACAATATTTCCATGATTGTATTAGCAAAGCATGAGCAGCCTTTAGGCTTTTCCTTTTGCCAGAACCTGTGCCAGGTGACCATGTACCACAAGATGGCATGAGTAGGTTTAATTTTTCATAGGGGCTTTAGGACCTGTGATCAGGTGCTACTACTAGAGAGGAGGACGGCTGTCCACACAAATAACTAGATTCTTCTTAAGCTCCAAGGCCTGGATGTGCTGTCAGTGATGAATGGAGTATTTGTAGATAAAGCTGGATTACAAAGGAAAGCCTGCAGGTCAACCTTGCGAACAGTAGACAGATTGATTTAATATATTTAGCTTGCATTAGGGAGCTAATAGAATTCTTAATGATTTCCCTGAGAGGAAAGACAATGGTGGGGTAGGACAAGAGGATCTGGGAGGAATTTAAGCAAAGATGAATTATATTTTCTATGAGAAAAAGTGTCATACTCTAAGTACTGAAGGCACTTACTAAGAGCTAAGTCATGAGGTTGAAGCTCTACCAATTGAATTCTGTAAATCCATGTTCAGAATAGTGAATGAAATGCTACAGACTCTCTAGGAACTCATGGGAAACACACAGATATCTGGAGCTCGCCCCAGACATACAGCATCAGAATCTTTACAGGGAACCCAGAAATCTGCAGGTTTAACAAGCTCCATACATGATTCTTACTTGCACTGAAGTGTAAGCAACACTGAGGACTATCATGGCCATCAATTTCTATGAAAATGTTTGCTAACATCTTGCCTCAAGCATTTTGAGTAAGGTGCTACCAACTGGATATACTTATATCCTCTGTCCTGCTTCAGCTGGTTAGAGCAGGAGATGCAGGCAATGCCTCTTTCTCTGTTTCTCTGTTTTTTGTTTTTGTTTTTGTTTTTGTGTTTTGTTTTGTTTTGTTTTGTTTTTCCCTCCCAGTCCTCTATCCAGAGCATGGATTACCCTTTAATTGAGATGGGTGGGCCCTGTCAGGTGCAGGATAGTTTTAGATCCTAAACCCCATTCTCCCTTCCCAGCAACACAATACAACATACTTGAGCTACTCTTGCTCCTGCCTTGTGTAGACTAAATCCTAGGGTGCCATTTACAAATACACCTAGCTGTTAAAATCCCTTATTAAGAACAAGACAACCATGTGGGGAGAGGGAGGCCAAGGGGCACCAAGACACCAGATACTGAGTGAAGAGCTGTCTTAGAAGTAGAGCCTAGAGCCTCCAGCCCAGCTGCCCAGAGGATCAGAGACAGACCACCCAACTGGGTCCACAGTAAACTCCTGACCCACAAAATCATGAGCAGAACAAAATGGCTCTTAAGCCAGGAGATTTGGGGATTGTTTGTCACACAGCAACAAACTTACAGGAATTATGTAAATCCAATTACTTATAGGAATTGTTTAAATGTTTTACAAAATTTTAAGACAAATCTAAATCAAAAATGAAAAAAATCAGTCTCTAGAAATCAAAAGCAAAAGTTAAACAAGTGAATCTGTGTATAAGCTGGTGGAATCACCATGCAGAAAGGAGTTATTTCAAATGACTTGAGAGTTCACTTATTTGTACATCCCTAGTAGACATACCCAAAGAAAAAAGAACTACAAAGAAATCTAAAAAGGTGTTCACTAATCATATTGTTTCTAATAGTATTGTTATTATCACTCTGAAGCTATTATTTATATACTATAGAATAGGATGAATAATACTATATTTATGTCATTTGGGAAAAAAAGATTTTTAATAAAGAGAAAAGAGATATAAACATAATATCAAGGTTGTTGAGTAAAAATATTGTGATCCTAAATATAAATTGATGATTATGATTTTTTTCTTTAAATAATACATATTTTCTGGATCTGTTCACTAAAATGATATAGAAACAATAACCAACCTGGTAGCAATGAATACCTGACACCCTGGAGAAATATGCATTCCTGGTCTGGGGCCAAAAATATGCAAGATGCGTGTGGGACATATTGCCAAACTAGAAAGCAAGGAAGTCACAAACTTACAGAGATACATAGGCCCATGTAAACAAGATGCTGTCACCATTTCCCTCGCTTCTTCCCCCATCTCTAGCTGCCTCTACTTGGCCTCCTTTACTGGCTTATCCTCTCTTACCTGATGCTTAAATACTGGAGTCACTCATGGCTCTGTCCTAGGCCCTGGTCTTTGATTGGGCTTTAATCTCACTCTAGGCTACTTCGGTGATCCCCATGGCTCCAACAACCACCTATACTTCGATGCCTTCCAAATGCATGTGTCTCCAGCCCCACCTCTCTCCCAAATCCAGATCTGAATACACAGCTGCCTACTCGGCACTTCCACCCACATGTCTCATGGGTGCTTCCCATCCAATGAGTATAAACTCATTGTCTTCCCTCCATTCAAACTTGGTTCTTCCCCATTATTTTTACATCAGTAATTGGAAGTATCATCGGACCAGTTTTGCTAAGCAGAAACCTGGAGGTCATTCTCCATCCATCCTTCTTCATCACCCCATACATCTAATCAATTGGATCCTGTCAATTCCACCTCCTGAATACTGCTGAAATTCATGCTCTTCTCCTCATCTATACTACCACCAACTGTGGACCGAGACATCATCATCTCTTGCTTAGATGACTTTGGTAGCTTCTAAACTGCTCTTCCTTATTCTACTCTTACCCTCTCCAATCCCTTCTTCACAGAAGCCAGAAGGGTCTTTTAACATGTAAATCATTATAGAACTCCTATTTTTAATTCTTCAATGGTTCTTCATGCCTTTAGGATAAAGTTTAAAATCCTAGAAGACCCTGAGTGATCTGGGGTCTGCTTACCTCAGCAGCCTCATGCAATACTATCCTCCATCTCGTTCACTTTGGACCATTCAGTTCCTTGAATGTGCCTTGCTTCTTCCTACCCCATGACCTTCATACATGCTGTATCCTCTACCTGGAATGCTCTTTCACCCCCTTTGGCTCAACCTGTTTCACTTACTTGTACATGTATAGTTTGGGATAAACCCCAATGAACATCCTGACTCTTTGAATAAATTTTAATTGTCAGATTTATTTCACCAAGTCCTAAGATACTCAGCTGAACCTTCTGCTGGTCACATCACAAGTAGAAGAAGCTGAATTTCAAGAGTTGCCTGAGGACAAATATAATGGTTTCCTGCTTCTATCCTAGAAGTCCTTCCCTATGCAACATGAGCTTTGGGGTACCCAGAGCTAGTGCAGGAGATGGGAAACACATACCTTTCTCTGCATTCTGGAAAGCAAAATGGTGTTGGGTTGAGGTTCCACTTCCCATGGTGTAAGTACAATGTTTGTGCAGGACACAGATAGCAAGTCCAAGAGAAAGTGAATTGTTCGCTGACAAAAGAAAGGGGAAATCCACAATAGAGATATTCAAGCAGAGTATTAGTTCAGGTGGACCAAATTATCTATGAACTTTGTCTCCCACATCATAAAAAAATGTGAGACTATCATGGGAGAGCAACCTTCCTCCACCTCTCCAGGCTCAGTGCATGAAGCGTTCCTCCCCTGAAAATTTCCTCCACTTCTCATCTCATTATCTCTCCTATGTTTTCAGCCTTCCTAGTGGCTTTTCCTTTGTAATCGAGAAACATACTGAAGTCTCTTCTCCTCTCAAAGCAATTCTCCTCCTCCTCCTCCTCCTTCTCCTTCTTCTTCATGCTTTGATTTCCTATATCCCTTTAGCTATAACCCAACCTCTCTTTTCTTCTCCAGATTTCCTTCAAGAGTAAACTACATATATTCTCCTCAATTCCTCTTAAGATCACTTTTAACATCCCCAGTGTTGATTAAAATCTTTCACGTCAATGTCTCCAATGTCTTCATTTTTTCCGTCCTTACCTTGCCAAAACAGCAAGCCATCTGCCTCCACAAGTCACACTTTGATTATAATTCTATTCCATGGGCTTCCATGATACCAGACTCCCTTGTATTTGCTCCTGCCTCTCTAACTATTTACTCTCTCTCCTTCTTGAGCTCATTTCCCTGTCTATCCCTTAAATGCTTATTTTTATTTGTAGTCTAGACTCAAATGTAAGCTCTCTTCACTCTACGTACATGCTCCCCAGATGAGTTAATCAACCCTCACATTTTCAATTACCACTTCCCGCCTTTCACATCTATACCTTCATCACAGGCCATCATTAATATTAACCCCATATACCCAGCTTCCTGCTAAATGTTCACTGGAATGCCTCAGATGTCAGGTATCACAATTAGATACCTTCCAGAAGCCTACTTTTCCAGCCTCATCTCTCTTCTCTCCTACCATCAAACTCTGTTCTTTGACCACTGTAACCTTTGTGCTTTGCTCTTACCTGGAATGTTCTTCCTATGCTGCTCCCCTAAATTTGACTAACTTTACTCACTCCTTAAGGCTAACATTAGGTCCCACCCTCCTTAAGAAAGCCAGTTTGACATGCCCCAAAGCTTCTGAATATCCTATTCGCATCTCCATCACTATTAGAATTTTCTGCTTTGTCTGTCTACCATTAGACTTGAGTTCCTTGAGATCAAAGACAGTGTGTGAGCAAATTTATCATTTTTATCTCTAGGACTTAACATGGTACTTGACACATAGTAGAGGATTCAATAAATATCGAGTAAACATTATGCCATATTTATTTTTATACACAAAAATGAATCTTTTTCTAACTCTTCTTAGGTTAAGAACATGTCCCTCCCTCAAATTTCAGAAGCAGTAAAAGGCATACTGTCTCAATGCAGCATTATTATGCACTGAATGTGTCTCCCCAAAACTCACATGTTGAAGCCCTAGCCCCCATGATGATGGTATTTGGAGGTGGGGTCTTTGGGAGATAATTAAGTTTAGATGAGGTCATGAAGGTAGAGCTCCAAATGGGGTTAGCATCCTTATAAGAAAAGGAGGAGAAACCTTATCTCTCTCTCTCTCCCTCTCTCTCTCCCTCTCCATCTTCTTCTCCCTCTTTCTCTCTCCCATGTGAAGACCCAGTGAAAAGGTGGCCATCTGCAAGCTAGGAAGAGAGTCTCATCAAGAACCAAATCTACTGGCACCTTGATCTTAGACTACTCGGCCTCTAGAACTGTGAGAAAGAAATGTTGGTTGTCTAAGCCACCCAGTCAGTGATATTTTGTTATAGCAGCCTGAGCTAATACAGGCATAAATTAATGGGATGGATACTGATTATTGCTGGGTCAAGAACTGTAATTACGTAAGTCTTCTTTTACCCTTCAGTTACCTTGTTCCTCATAAGTTTATAAATTCAAATACAGTGGCAGAATAAGACAACCTTGTTAAATCATCTACCCTATAAAAAGTGTTGAAAGTAGAAATATGACACTGCTACAGTAGAAGTAATAACTATCATGAGCTGATAAATGATTCGAAGCAAACTTTACGAATGAAAGAAATAAAGTCTCCCATCGGGCAGCATATCTACTTGTAACTAACTCTGAGTCCCCAAAGACAGAAAAGATGTGCTTTCTATATCATAGGAAAGAGGAAAAAGGCATCCAGCTATCACTGTAAAGCATAGGTGCATAGGATCATTGCCTTGGGGCTCCATGCCCTCTTCTGTTTCTCTGTTGTGTATGGATCATGGTAACTCCATTACAGGGTTATTACGAGGGTGAAATAAGTTTATATATGAGGAGTACTTTGCAGTTTGTCATTATCCTGAAAAACATAAATGAGTAACTTCTTGAGTGACACTCTCAGAAATCTCTTAAAAATTGTCTCCCCCCAAAATAAAAAGCACTTTAAATATTGATCAGTACAGAACTGACAAAATACATCAAGGTACATTAAAAACAATGGAATAGTATTTAGCCATGATCAGCATGAAAAAGAACAAGGCAAGTCTATATGTAATAGTACAAATATATTCCCAAGATACATGGTTACATGAAGAAAAGCAACTTGAACAGTATGCTTCAAGTAATCTCATCAATATAAAAAAAGTCATAAATATATAATCAAAGTGCATTTACCAAACCGTTCATAGTGATTATTTAATGTGATTGGGTGAGAAATTTTCACTTTTAATTTATATAGTTCTACTGTAACTTTTATAATTAAAAATCAGTAAATTATATTTTTCAAAAACTTTTGCATATAAGAAATTAGGTGACTTTGATGAAATAGATATCACATTTAGCTGCCTTAAGAGAAGTGACATCATCTACAGACCAGCAGAGAATGTTCTAGAAGTCACTAAGAAAAATGAATAGAAAGGAGAAATAAAATAATTCTCAAAGCAAAAACTAAAACAGTAAAAACTTAATAAGATCAAACATGAAAAATTAGCTTGATGTAGCCTCATATTGTTGAACTGTTCAGCACCTTTTGGTAATGACTAAATGCTTCTCCTGCTGGTGAGTATCCAGTTGAGCTGGCTTCTCAGTTAACTAGCACATCTATGCCAAATGGGTGAGACTCCTTGTCCTTCTAGGGTTTGACTTAGCATCATCCATATCTGACATATTCATCGAAAAAATGTAAGTATTTATTTGGCCACTAAGTGAACCCCAAAAATGGAATGAAGATTCATTACCCAGGACTTGAAGACCTTGAAACATGCAAACAAAGACCCTCCCTGGGTGAGTCAGTGAGATAAAAAAGGGGATTTCTGACCTCTGTCGCCCAATAAAACCTGTATTTATTTCCTGTGTGAAAACATGTTTGTTGCCCTCATGATCTCACCCATTTCTATACTTCAGGCTAGAAAGAAAGCTCTTACCTTCGGTGTTTTTTACCAAGGAACACAATAGGGCAGGAACCACTTTAACGCACAGGTGTGATACCCATCCTGTCTTCAGAGTTGGCTGAGGAATCCCAGGCTGATATGATTTCTTCCAGATCTAGAGTCCAATAAATAAGATGCAGGCCTAGTTTGCCATACCTTCTCCCAGAATGGCAATGATGTTATCCACAGCCTGGCCAAGTCAGGGCTCCCTACCTCATGGCAGTAGGCACCCCTTGACCTCAGATCAAGCCTTCAAGAGGATTTGCAAGGGGAGACTGCATAGTCGGGTATTTCCCTCACATGCAGGCCCAGCTCCTGACGACAATTTCTCCACCACTCACTCCCTCCTGACCAGTGTTCTAAGTCTTCTTACTCTCCCAGATTAGGAGGCTGTGTTTCTCCAGTCACGTCTGAGAAGCCTGAGCTCCTTAACCCAGAAATAGAATGCTGACAAGGCAGCAAGTCCCCAGAGACAGCACGAGGGATCCTCACTGAAGCCACACAGGAGGCCAAGGCATTTTCCCTGGCATCTGGCTTTTCTCTGTTTGCAAAACGTGATTGAAACATCCTGCCCTTTCTTGTTTACTCCTATTATGGATACTTTTCCCCCTAGGATATAACCTAAACTGTTGTTAATCACTATTCACAGACAACTTACTGTTTCAATAAATCTAAGATGCTCATGTGTGTGCTGGTAGGTACTAAATATTCCATGAGAATTTACAAAGAAATTTATACTCTATTTACTTACATGTATTTACTAGGTCAAGTTTGTTGTTTTTCAAATCTTCTTTATCCTTATTTGTTTTTCCTGAGCTGCTCATCTTTGAAAGAAAATTTCTTGAAGTGATAGTGAAATGGTAAGAACAGATTTAGCAATTTATTTTTATATTTATGACTAATTATTAGATTAAATCATATGAATTGCCACTGGCAATTATATAATTATAATATATGAAAGTTTATGGCTATTTTCCTAGAGAATAACTTATCAAAATAAAATATCACTCTGCCCTTTAAAATCCTTTTTGCCTTTTTTTTGTCTGATATTTTCACACTTTTTGTGGGCCCAGCACACTTCCGCTGCTCAACTCTGCTATCTTCAGTTCGTTTTTTATTAGTAGTTGACTACTAATACTTTTTCTACAAATTTTATCAGTTAGAAGACTGATAAAATCCTATATTATTGAGAATATGAGAAAAAGGGCCCTCTCCATATACTACTAGTGAGAATGTAAATTGTTTCATTTTCTTGAAATTAAACTAGATTAACTTTTAATTGTGACATTAAATAATGTATTTACTTTATTAAATTACATATTTATAATATGTAAACCTTTTGGTCTAGAAATTCCACTTTTAAGTATCTTATAAAATAATATCCACTTTTAAGTATCTTATAAAACTAAATATCACACAAACATGTATATAAGAATTTTTATGACCATATTATTTTTTATCATAAAATATTAGAAACAACTTAAAAGTTTAAAAATTGTAGAATGGTTAAACGAGTTATACATACATATGGGGGAATACTGCATAGTCT